TGCATACTGCAGATTTGAACTCTTGTGCAAAATCATAAATTTAAGTATATTTGATCAAAGTAGTCAAAACTACGGGTGTTATTAATTTAATTAATTAATTAATATATTATATAATATATTAAATGAAAGAGTATTAATTATTACTCTCTTTATATAATAGGGTTCTATTGTTGATTTCACTTGCATTTGCTAAACGTCTTCCACGAAGTACATCCTGCTACTGCCTGGTGCCTATTTCGAGTTGTTTCTTCTCCTTAGTTGGCTCATCAACCCCTCGCATCAGAAATTGAACCTGCTACTGCTTTTACTAATTTGCTTTGCTTGGCTTGGCTTAAATTGGTTATCAGTGTTCACCTTTTCTTATTTCTTCTGCCAGGTACGCTATCTATTAGATATTCTTCAATCTTGATTCTGTTCATGTTTTCTTTGATATAAAAAGGGAAAGGAAAATATATGGTTCAGTGTTTCTTTTGGATTAATTTATGACCATATTGTTAGATTCTGTTTGTGTTTACTTCATTTTTGTGAGATTCTCATATTCATTATGTTTTTTTTTCCCTTGCTGAGCAATTTGTTAGTTCTCTCATTTTAATAATTTTGCTTTTACCTAATAACTAATTAGTAGCCGCTTAATGTGTATAAAAAAAATTAGTAGCCACTTAATTGATAATCCATTTGAGATCTTTTTTTTATTTTTTAGTCACTTCAAATAAATTAATATAGAAATGTAAACTCCTTGTGATCGTATTTGATTCCTTTTTTTTTCTGCTCAGAATATATCCATCAACCTTTTGCAAGAAAGAATAGACTTGCAGTTGCAATCGAGCAGATCTACTGTATGCCACATAGTTTCTGATTTTGTGGGTCTAATTTTCATCGCACTGTCTAATTTCTTCAATTCTTCTAGACCTGCAGCTAAGCAATTCCATCAATTACGCTCTCTTTAAAGCATAAGATGAAAAAGCATATACTTTTTTGTGGCCAAAGAAATAAATATTTTTTAGATGTAATACTGTCGTACTTCAGATTTTTATTGGTTGTTTTTGTAATTATCACTCGGAAGACTTTGATCTACTATAGATCGAATTTAAGTAAAATATTTAATCAATGAAAATTTCATTCGAACGATGTAGTTTTAAGATAGAGAAATTATTGGAGTATTTTTTAATTTGATACATTTTTTAATAAATGGCTAGTTATTAAAATAAAATGTAAAAATAATTAATTTAATTAGTTTTGACCTCTTTTACCTATGATTACATGTTTAAATTTATTTACATTTAATTCTAATGAAAAATAATACCTTTTAATGTGTGTTTTATAGAACATGCTATACTAAAAATTTTACCAATTAAGTCGTTTGAGATATTTTTCCATTCAATTTTCTTCTTGTCAGATTCTCATCTTCCTTTATAAAACAAATAGTTAGATTCCTCATTGTCCTATTGTTTGATTTTCCCTCAATTAATTTTTAGTAGCTTAATTGATAATCTTGTGAGCTCGCCTTTCTTCTAGGCACTTCAAATAAATTAAAATAGAAGTGTATTCCCCCAGTGATAATATTTGAATCATGTTTTTTTATTCAGGAAATATCCGTCAGCCACACTATATCAGGAAGAATAGGCTATCAACTGCAATCAAGATGATTTGTTGTGTCCAATTTGTTTCTGCATCGAATTTCCTAAATACCATTTTTTAGACCTGCAGGTATACAATTCTTTCTATTGTATTCTTTTTCAAGTATAATATGAAAGTAAAATAAGTTTTTAGCACAGGATGCACGAAAAATTATATATACACATAGTTTAAGCATTGAAGTTATTAAAATATTTTGTTTTATATATTAAATAATAAATTATGTAATAAAAAATAGTTCATTTTTTTTTAAACTCCCTTTTAGTTATTTTTTTTATACATTAGATAATAAATTATGCAATAGAAAATGTTCATTCTTTTTTAAACTCCTTTTTAGTTATCCCAAGAGATTCGAACTTGTTTAATTTTAAAAAACAAAGCAACAATTATATTGAAATTAGTACAGTATTTATTAGCATAATGTTTTAATAAAAAAAATACTTTTTACTGTAATTTTATCATTAAGTTTTAATTTTAATTATTTATTGTCATAAAAGTCATTGTTTAATTTGTTTTTGTTTTTAACATTTTTTGTTATTTACTTTGAACTTTTTTTAAATCCAAAAGACCAATATCAAGACGAGTATTTGTATTATATGAAAATACCATTTATTTTGTAATAGAAAAAGTAGTAAATTTAAACAAAAATATAGTAGTAATTACTATAATAAAAAGGTTAAATCAACCTGATAAATAAGGGACTAAACCAGTTTAAAAATCTTTTAAAAATCTAGCTCGATAACCAACAACTTCGGCCGCTGACCCCGATTCCACCGATTGGCCTGGTTAAATTGTTCTGTCCAAACCAGTTCATTTAATAATAATTATTAAATTAATGTTATTAATTATAAAGTAATTTTAATTTTATTTAATTTTCTTTAAAAATTGGCTGAAATTATTTTTACCTTCGTGGATCAAGGAAGTTATTAATTTTAAAAATTCTATTTTTAAAATTCGTTACATTTTCAATATTTGACATCAAATTAAATTCAATCATTAAATCTATTAAATAATCTTTGATATATTCCAAAGTACTGATGAATGATACTTTAAATTCAGTTAAAAAAAACAGGGATGTTATATTAATTACAGTATAAAATTATTTATTTTATTTATTTATTTTGAAAGTTATTCCATATTAGTAGTTTTAATTTCAAAGTGATTTCATTTATTCTATTTTTAAAATTATATTGATTTTAATTTAATTTAATTTTATTCTCTGACCTAGAAAAGTAATTAATTTTAAATTAATTTTTCTTTTTAAAATTTATTCCAATTATATTTTCATTAATTAAAATTTTTCATTCATTCCTCGTACTTTACTTTAAATAGATTTTACATTTTAATTATTATACTATCTATAAAATAAATAAGAGATTAAAGAAAAATGAAAAAAAGTAAAATTGTAAAAAAAATATGGAAGAAAAAAAA